CTCTTCTCGCTCTCCTCACATTCTGGGATACCTCTGATGTCCGTGTTATTATGCTTGATCTATTTTATTTATTACTTTGTTCTTTCTGTTCAGCTTGATTACTTTCCATTCCTCTATCCTACAGGTCACTGATCTGTTTTTCTGCTTCCTCTCCTCTACTATTTATTCCCTTTGGTGTATTTTTTTTTAATTTTTTTTTTAAGATTTTATTTATTTGTGAGAGAGAGAATGAGAGACAGAGCATGAGAGGGAGGAGGGTCAGAGGGAGGAGCAGACTCCCTGCTGAGCAGGGAGCCCGGACTCGACCCTGGGACTCCAGGATCATGACCTGAGCCGAAGGCAGTCGCTTAACCAACTGAGCCACCCAGGCGCCCCCCTTTGGTGTATTTTTAATTTGTTTTTCATCTCTGGTTCTTTTTAGGTTTCTTGTCTCTTTAAGGGTCTCACTGAGATCTTCCACTCTATTCTCAAGTCCAGTGATTAGCTTTATGATCACTACTTTAAATTCTATCAGGCATATTACTTAACTGTTTCATTTGGCCGTCTTGCAATTTTGTCTTGTTCTTTCATTTGGGACGTATTCCTCTGTCTCCTCATTTTGTCTCTGTGTCTCTTTCTGTGTTAGGAAGGTCAGCTATGTCTCCTGCTCCTGTAAGTAGTGGCCTTATGAAGAGTTCCAGGAGTGCCTGCAGTGCAGTGTTCCCTGTTCATCAGAACATGGTGCTTCACTGGGGGTCTCTCTGTTGTGTGTGCCCTAGGGTTGTGGGTGAGCTGCGTTTGCCTTCAGTGTCGTCCTTTGCAGTGGCTCTCTTTGCCTGTTGTAGCCTGCGTTTGGTCCCTGTGTTAGCTGGCCAGTCTGGGGCTGCCTGGGGCTTGAGTTGAGGCAGTTCGGGTGTTTGCCAAAGATGCAGTGGCACCAAATTGCAGGGTGCTCTCCCTGTGTTGTCCCCCAAGCAGCTTGTGTTGGCAGGTGGAGCTGCCGTCAGACCAGATGTCTGCCCCCAGTCTGCTGCTGGGGCCACATCAGACTGGTGTGTGTTGTTCCCTTACCGTCTCCCTGGGGCAGGATTCACTTGGGAGTGGTGCTGGCCCCTGCTGGGGTTGCTTGCACATTGCCAGCTGTGTGGCCCAGGCTTGGATAGGCTCTGGCTAATGGTGCACGGGAGGGGGCAGGGTCATGGTGTTAGCAGCTTCTGGGTAGGTTGGCTGTGGGGGGTGGCCTGGAGCCCCCCTTTAGAAAACTCCTGCGACAGGCTGGATAGGGGAGTCCCCTGAGTGTGTGGACGTGGCATGTGGTGTGGGCCGTGCAGGTCCACGGCAGGAGGAGACTGCAGCTGCCCAGAACTCCATAGGCGGTAGGGATGGATGGGGTGTGGGTGTAGGAGAAGGGGGGCGGGGGGGTGAGGCTTGCTGTTACCATTTTGGGTGGTGAGTGCTGCACTACCCTGACTCCCACACGTCTGTGGATCTAGGCTGGGCTGAAGCAGAGGAAAGCAGAGCCTGCCAGCGCTTTTGTTCTTGAAGTCTCCCAACGATTCCTGTCCCTCTAGCATCGCTCTGAGAGTAGTAAGCAAATCTCCCTCCCATTTACCCCAGGCAGTTCTCAGACTGCGCTTGTGTGCGGTATCCCAGTGGGGCTGCTTGCAGTGCGGTCTCTTTAGGGGCGGGGACTCCTTTTCCTCTTGCCCTCCCTTCTCAGAGCCCAGCAGGCTGATCTTTAAAGTTCCAGCTTAAGCACTGCCGACTGTATGAAATTCGCCTGTTCTGGTTTTCAAAGCTGGAGGTTATGGGATTCATCCCTCCCCCCCCCCCCGCCCCCACCCCCGCAGGCTCCCCGGTGTGGGGGGTCTGCTTCTCTCCCCTCTCCCTCCCTCCTGCAGACAGTCCTGAGGGTCCGTTTGCCTCCTGACTTGCACCTCCAGCTTCCTGTCTTCTTTGATGTGGCCTCTTGTCTACATTTAGCTTGTGGAGAATCTGTTCTGCCAGTCTTTGGGTCATTTTCTGGGTTCTTTACACTGAAGGGGTTATTATCTAGCTGTATCCATGGGACCAGGTGAGCTTAGAGTCCACCCAGTCCACCGTCTTCCCTGGATGGCTCTTGACTTCTGTTTTTGCACTTAGCTCTGATCCCCCTGAATCTGCAAGGATAAATGGAGAGGAGGATCTGGACTTGGGATTATTTGGAGTTGGAAACAATCTTTTTAAGCAGCAGCAAGGTACCCGGCACTGTGCAGTCATCCTTCCTGTTCTGATCATTGTGGGTCCTTCTAGAATCAGCAGCTTCCAGCATGGCGGATTGCCAGCATCTGCCGCCTGCACAACATGGCTTCTGTGTGTGTGTGGGGGGGGTACATTTCCCAGAGCGCCCCCCCCCCCTCCACTGCATCCACACACAGCCGCCGCCACTTTCCGCTCCTGTTCCCTCGGTTCTCTCCCGCTTTCCTGTCTCCCCTTGCCGGGTACTTCTACTCTGCTCAAGTTTCCCTTTAGCACTAGCTTCTTCCTCCTGTTTATTTTTATCTGTGACTTTAAAATTTGCTTTATGTGAAAGTGCATCACTATTAAGCACTTGAAGAGTTCGCAAGCACTCAGTCGTGCGGGTGGGAGGCCCTGCAGTTTTAGAACTAGGATTCCGGACAGAATGGGGACAGTTGTGGTGTTCCATCTCAGACAGTGTTTCATGCACATCAGAGGCTGTGCAGGCTGCCCCTCCCCCCCCCAGGGCACTGCTTCCGGCTGTCGTGGCTCATGCGGGACTCTGGTCTCCCCCCCTGACAGGGCCTGCTCCCCCGGGACCAGCTAGAGGCAAGGACGCAGCCGGGTCCCAAGTGAGGAGGGTGCCCGGCTCATGGGAATGTGGGTGGCAGCCCTCTTTCCAGCCACCTCCTCCTCGCCCTTCACCTGGGGGAGCTTTTCAAGCAGCTCCGCCCTCTGCCTCCACTTGGAACAGGTGTCAGGCCACGGATGCCTCCTGCCGGGGGCGTGTGAATGACGTGCCCTTGCCTATTCTATGCCGTGTTTAGCCACATGTCAAGTATGAGAGGGAAGGGCCAGTTAGACCCTTGCGTTCAGAAAATGCCTCCACTCTTAGCTTTGGGGGCCTCTGCCTTGTCTCCCCTACCTGGCCTCCGGGATTCTTCCTTTCTATTCTTGGTGTCCTTGCACAGACCTAACATTTATGATGGTAACGTTCATTCTGTGTATCCAGCGCAAAACTTCACATCACCACAAATGGACCTTTTTTTTCCTTAATCTCTCAGTGGTTCACTCATTTTCCTAGTCATTTAGTTAAAAAATAATTAAGTCTTCCATTAAGTCCTGTGTTGCTGAATCAGCTTTCTCAAAACATGGTCCTTGTGGAGTCCTGTCTTCACTTGGTCCTTTTTTGTGACTTCTAATTAGTTCTTAATTTTGTGAAACTCAGTGCCTTCTATTCTTTAACAAATACTTTATCTTTATGAAAATAATTGTATAGAAAATAAAAATCACCTGTACATGTTTTTAAATCAATATAGTTGATGATGTGGGTGGAACTGTGTCCCCCTGAAAGATGTATTGCAGCCCCAACACTGCAGGTACCTGTCTGTAGGTGTGATGAAGGTAAGTTGAGGTCATTCTGGATGTGGGGGGCGCCCCAGATCTGGTGAGTGGTGTCCTTAGGAGAGGGCCGTGTGAAGGCAGACATTGGGGTGACACATCTACAAGCCGGAGGACACGGATTCCTGCCAACCGCCAGTGGCCAGTGGGGCAGCAAGGACGATCCCCCTGAGACCTTGAGAGAGAGCACGGCCCTGCCGAGGGGCTGCACTACTGCTCTACGGGGGGGGGGGGGGTGTCCACGCCCTTCACAACGGGACCCCCCCCCATCCTTACCACAGGGAAGACTACGAAGCTGTCTTGCCTTTGCAGACATCAGTGAAGACTGAGGAAGAAGCTGCCCAGGCCCTTGTGGCAGAGCAGCGGCCACCTCGGAGTCTGGCTCCCGGGGGCCCCTGTGGGGACTTCACTCAGGGGAAGGTTACCAAAGCCCATCTGATGGGTGAGGGCAGCCTCTGGCGGGTCCCGTGTCTGGGCGCACCGTGTCCCATAACTCTGACTTGGCCCTTGGGAGCCGACATTCCCTGCGCGCCATCGCCCTCCCTTCCTTCTCTGTCCTCTGCTTGCAGGCTTGTCTCAGCCCTTACCATTTCGCATCCCTCCCCATCACGTTATCTTCTTCTGTCACTAATCACTCAGCTTATTGATTCTTGTTATCTTCTCTGCTCATCCCTCCACATTCCCTGAATCCCTCACGGCTCCTCTGCTTCCATTTTCTTCCCTATAAAGGGTTCCATGTAATTGTCATGTGCAGACATCTCTTTGTGTCTGGAAGCCCCACACACTCCTCTGCCTGAACCCTTCTTTATCTCAGAGACGTTCTCTTCACACTCTGAGCAGACTATTATCCACATATTATTTTCTTTAAATACAGAGCTTGGTAGACTCTCTCCCCAGCTAACTGACCTTTCGTGTATTACCTTCCCACACTGTGCCAGACTTTGGAGGACCGCTGTGACAGCACTTCTGGGACACCTGATGATTATGTTAATTTGAAAATCCCGTTCCCAGGGCGCCTGGCTGGCTTAGTCAGTAGAGCAGGTGACTCTCGATTTCGGGGTTGTGATTCTGAGCCCCACGTTGGGCGTAGAGCTCACTGAAAAAGAAAATCCTGGGGCGCCTGGGTGGCTCAGTCGTTGAGCGTCTGCCTTCGGCTCAGGTCATGATCTCAGGGTCCTGGGATCGAGCCCCGCATCGGGCTCCGCTCCGAGGGAAGCCTGCTTCTCCCTCTCCCACTCCCCCTGCTTGTGTTCCCTCTCTTGCTGTCTCTCTCTCTCTCTGTTGAAAAATAAATAAAATCTTTAAAAAAAAAAAAAGAAAAAATCCTGTTCCCTGCTCTGGAGATTTTTTCTTCTTTCTCAGTTCAGGCAACAGATGACATTTAAATTATTGTATTATTTTAGCTGAAGAAGTTGTAACTAAAGATGGATTATTTAATGCAAAGAAAGAAACTTCTCAAGAAGTGGAGCATGGTGCTGAGGCCCCAGGAATACCCGACAGGTGAGTGTCCATGGTTGTATGTGGGACAGATCCTGCAGCTGTCGGAACAGATTGGAATGGAACCAGAGAAACCAACTGGTCTGGAGCTGCTTCCCTGGGATCATGTAGGAAAGTAACTCTCACTTCTGTAATCACAGGAGGTCCCATGCCACGGTGACCTACCGTTATCCGCATTACACAAAACCTTCAGTCGGTGCACAGGTGCCCCAAGAATCCTATCCTGACTGTTTACCTTGCCTGGTCACCCTTCCCTGAGCGCCCTTAGGTCTTTGAGGAGCTACAGATAAGCCAGAAAAGGCGGAGAATTTAGACGAGAGTGAGGCCCGTCATGGCAGTGAAGAAAGACCTAGCATTAGGAAAGTAGCTGATGGCGCAGATATTCAAGATAGTAGTAGCTACTTAGTAAGTGCTGGTTGTGGGAATGAATGAATGAACATGGAGCACAGATACTCCTAAAGCAGGACAGGAGGGACCCAGTCAGAGGCAGAGTGTTAGGTTTGGGTGAGGCAGTTAACTCCTCGGAGGTGAGAAAAAGAGGAGAAAGGAAACAGTGTGGGATAATTAGCCTGGCACGCAGGGCAGCGGTGGGGACATTTGTTCAGGGCAGGGAATCGGAGCTAAATCTTAGTGAAAACGGAAATGTCTTGAAGCTTAAGAAAAGTGAAATTTTTCATAAAGCCCAGAGGCCTGAGCCAGGCTCCCACTAAAATAACATTTTATGAAGTCATTGTACCAGCACAATAGGAATCTGGTGGTGTGCCTGTCAGGGACATTTAACGTTAGTGCCCGGAAACCTGACTCCCTGTGTCTTCATCCCCCCACAGCCCCCGCCAGCCACACAGTTTCTTCACCTCCTTTTCCCACTACTCACTCCCCTTTCCTTCTTCCACCATTTTGGGCCATGATGCATGTCCATTATCAATATCTGTGTGTAAAATACGCACTTTTGCTTTATGTGAATGCTTTAAATTATTTAAAGAGTATTATATTACCACTCAGCATCATGTTTTAAGACCTGTCCGTATTTCTGAGTACTCACAGCTGCCACCTAGTATCTGCAGGGCACACCTCTCACAGCCCGCCTATCACTTCCCCAGCAGTGGTCACCCAGTTGCCTGCAGGCCCCCTCAGGAGGAACACTGCTACGGAGAGCAGTCTCTACTCCACGCCCCTTGTGTGAGAACTTCTCTGAGACAAATAGCTAGGAACAGAATTGCTGAGTCCTAGGATGTGTTTTTACTAAATTTATGCTAAATGGACTTCTGAAAACAATGCACCAGGTTCATACTCGCCAGCATGTGTCCTTATCCGGTTCTCCTAGTCAAGGATCCGGGGCTGCTTTATCCACCCAGGCCCACAGGATGGTCCCTGCAGCTCTACCCATGTTCATTCCTGGTTCCAAGAACACAGACGTTTTCCCCTATTTCTAACTGGCTGAAATGGCCTCCGAGGACCACGTCCGGCTGTAAGAGACGCTGGGGGAACTGAGTATCTAGAAAGGGCAATGGGATTGTTAGGACTGGCTTAGACCAGTTCGTGGCCTTTACCAGGACACGCAGCTGCCTCCAGGAGAACTGGCTTTCTGACGAGCTAACAGAAGAGGCACGGGTGCTGGTGGGAAAGTCACAGTCTGCCACTCTCCCCGAGCAGATGATTAGGGAAACTTTCTCAGGGTGTCACAGGCCACGATGAACTAGACAGAGGTGTGGGTCAAGAATCAGTGATGAACCGATGGGAGAGGCCGAGAGAGAGTTGTGTTGAAAAGACTATTTTCTAGGCACATTTTTGTAAGTTCCAGCTTTCAAACGGTTTTTCCTTTGTTCCACCCATTCAGGAAGCCTCTTGTCCCTCTTACGCAGAGTCCTGTGACCGCAGACAGCCCACCGTCCGTAGGTGCCATGAGGGCACAGCGCAGGGGCAGAGCTGCAGTGCAGAGGGCATCTGAGTAAGACTCAGGGACCAGGCGGGAGTTTGCTGGCTGCACAGGAGGTGGAAAGGAGAGAGGCAGAGAAGTGAATATGCCGGCACCCAGAGGGGACTGGAGGACTAGGAGAGGAGTCACAGAAGGCAGACTGTGTCAATGAGCAGGCTTCTGCCTAAGGAATTTGGGGTCCTCTCTGGAGTAGGAGGAGAGGCTATGGGATTGAAGCTTTGAGAAGAATGATGAAGATATGAAATGTGGGGAACTGGGAAGACAGGGACGAGGGGGAAGGAGGACTCCAGACAGGGTGGTGACCAGCTGAATCTCAGAGACCAGCACGGTTAGCAGTGATGGTTGCCCTGGTGCTGTGGGCTCTGTGGCGCCGCTCACCCTGGGGAGAGGACTGGAGAAGACCCAACGATGGGCTCCAGCCTGGGCTGAAGTCTGGCCGGCCTGGTGCTACAGAAGGTCACTGGGGCAGGTGGTTGATAATCCTGGCCAGAGAGGGACTAAGGTGATGGATTGTGGGGTCAGCTGACTGAGTAGGAAGGGAAGTGGAAGCAGGAGGGAAGGGAGGAGTCCATGAGATGGAACGGCAGGGGCGGATCCGGCTCGACTGAAAAGATGCAGCACGATGGTAGCATCCGCACCGGGTCCCTGCAGTTGAGAACATTAGGGAGCTCTACGAACGGTAGGGAACGTTGAATGGGCCGTCCGTGCACACTGGAGACACCCAGGATAAATGCTTTACAAGTAACTAAACACATGTAGTATAAATTGTACTCTCTTCAGTGCTTTTCCCTGTTGTGTCCTCTGCAACTAGACTATTAACCAAGGGGACATTAGTGAAATGCAAATTTCTCAAATAAAAAGAGAAGCCTGTGCGTAACACTTTTCATCTTGGTAACTGTAGCTTGCTTCCTTGTAAACCCCATAAAAACCAGTTCAACGGCAGTAAGTTTGAGTTTCTCTTAAGTTTCTCCCCAGAGCAGTGTGTCCAACAGATGAACGTAGAGCTAGGAAAGACTTAATCCTTCCATGTTCAGAAATTCTGAGAGCGGTGTGAGGGAGCCCAGTAAATAACAACCCCTTGCCTTGTCCAAGTTTAAAACCAACTGATGGAGATACAGGAGTAAAACAAATGATTCTTGAAACCTCGGCTTCATTACTGACGGAAGCTTGGCTAGGAAAGGAGCAGGACAGCAGACCTCCCCCTACACAGCCCTGCCTGATACAACTTGGAGCATCTGCCACTTGCTTCTGAAGAGTAGGGAGGTGCTGCACGAAGATGTCCAGGTTCCTTCTTTGAGATTCCACAACTAGTTGTCTTGAGGAGTGAGACCATGCTAGGGAGAGGCCAGAAGTGTTAGGTCCTAGGAGGGAGAAGCCAAAGTCCTAGGAGTGAGGAGCAGGTAATCTCCACACAAGACTACTTAGGTGTCATCAGATTCATGTCATAGTAAGACAGGATTTTTATAACCTGTTTTTTTTTTTTCATTCCTAGAGATTGTGTGCCCCAGCCACCTTGTACTTCTGTCCGTACGGAAAGGACAGTTGCACATTTGAACACTCTGAAGGACCGTCACCCGGGTGACTTGTGGGCCCGAATGCACATCTCATCCTTGGAATATGCTGCTGGAGACATGACCCGAAAAGGGAGAAAAAAGGACAAAGCTCGAGTGAGTGAACTGCTACAAGGCCTTGCATTTTCTGGTGACTCAGATGTGGAAGAAGATAACAAGCTTGAGGCCCACCATGCTCAAAAAAAGCTAAAGATGTCAAATGTGCCAGAGAAGAATTGGACCAAAAGAGACATTAAACCCAACTTCCCAAGCTGGTCGGCACTGGATTCTGGACTTTTGAATCTCAAGAGTGAGAAGCTGAACCCAGTAGAGCTCTTTGAGTTATTTTTTGATGATGAAATATTCAACATGATTGTCAACGAAACCAATAATTACGCATCTCAGAAAAATGTCAATTTGGAAGTCACAATTCAGGAAATAAGGTGTGTGTTTGGTATCTTGCTTTTGAGTGGATTTGTGAGGCGTCCCAGAAGGGGAATGTATTGGGAAATCTCTGATGCTGATCAGAACCTGGTTAGAGATGCAATTAGAAGGGACAGATTTGAATTGATTTTCTCATACTTACATTTTGCAGATAATAGCCACCTAGATCAAAAAGATAAGTTTACAAAATTGAGGCCTCTCATAAAGCAAATGAATAGAAATTTCCTCCTGTATGCTCCCCTGGAAGAATACTATTATTTTGATAAGACAATGTGTGAATGCTTTGACAGTGACCAATTCTTGAATGGGAAACCTATTAGAATTGGCTATAAAATTTGGTGTGGCGCAACCACACAGGGTTATCTGGTGTGGTTTGAGCCCTATCAAGAAGAATCAACAGTGATGGTGGATAAGGATCTAGATCTTGGTTTAGGTGGAAATCTAGTGATGCATTTTGCTGATGTTCTTTTAGAGAGAGGCCAATATCCCTATCACCTGTGTTTTGATAGCTTCTTTACAAGTGTAAAATTGGTGTCAGCCTTGAAGAAAAAAGGAGTGAGGGCAACAGGAACAATTCGTGAGAACAGGACTGATAAATGTCCCCTCATGAATGCAGAACATATGAGAAAAATGAAGAAGGGCTATTTTGATTTCCGAGTTGAAGAAAATGAGGAGATAATTTTGTGTCGTTGGCATGGTGATGACATTATCAGTCTATGCTCCAATGCTGTGGGCATAGAACCAGCCAGTGAGCTAAGTTGTTCTGCCGATGAGGACATCCATCAGATAGCTCAACCATCTATAGTGAAATTGTATGATGAATGCAGGGAAGGTGTAGCTAAAATGGATCAAATCATTTCCAAATACAGGGTGAGAATAAGAAGCAAGAAATGGTACTCCATTTTGGTAAGCTACATAATTGATGTAGCCATGAACAATGCATGGCAGCTACACAGAGCCTGTAACCCAGGTACCTCTCTAGACCTGTTGGATTTTCGGAGATATGTTGCACATTTCTACTTGGAGCACAATGCTAATCTGTCAGATTAAGGCAGATAAAATGAACACAATGCCAATATTAACAAGACAAAAAAATTACAGGTACAAATCAGATTGTACCCTTCCAAAGCAAACCTGATGTATGTAATGGAATTTTAAGTAATATTTTTACTATGTAGAATTTCAAAGACTATTATAACAAGTAATTTTTAAAATTATCTGTAAAAATGTTGAACTTGAGTGCCACCTTTTTCTATGACTAATTTTTGGTGTGAGACGTGAGAAATCATTTGTTAAATTGATTAATTTGTGCCCCGAAAGAATGAAATTGTGCCTCTTTAGTTTTTTGTGGAGATTTTTAAAAATGCCAGCACTGTCATAGTAACCATAGGACGATGCTGAATCTACAGCTGAAAACTGAGGCAGAGCCCATGACATAAGGATGATCTAAGAAAGACCTTAGGTGATAAGAGGCTGATGACCTCAGTGTTGGTATGAAACTGGATCAGATGGTGGGCAGGAGAGAAGGGCCAGGCAGGGGCGCTGGAAGGGAGTACTATAAAGGAGAAATTGGAAGTGAAGTACCTCTGAATACTGAAATGAAAGGTGTATCCTATTGGGACTGTGGGAGTTGGCAGAGGCAGCTAAGAGTAAAGAAACTGAGGAAATAGGAAGCAAATCGGGTAACAATAGCATCTTCAGGAGAAGAAAGGAAAAGTCAACAGTAGGATGAAGTTGACATAAAGCCCATGGTGAAAAAACTGTATGCCAACAAACTGAACAGCCTAGAAGAAATGGATAAATTCCTAGAAACACATAAACTACCAAAACTGAATCTGGAAGAAATAGAAAACTTGAACAGACCCATAGCTAGCAAAGAAATTGAATCAGTAATCAAAACTCTCCAACAGACAAAAGTCCAGGACCAGATGGCCTCACAGAGGAATTCTACCAAACATTTAAAGAAGAGTTAGTACCGATTCTACTCCAAAATATTCCAAAAAAATAGATGAGGAAGGAAAACTTCCAACAAATCATTCTATGATACCAAAGCTAGATAAAGACACCACAAAAAAAGAAAAGGGAACTAGAGGCCACAGCAAAGAAACAGGGATGATTGGACCTTGTGGCCCCTTATTCACACTAAAGTAGAGGTGATAGAAATAGGAGGACAGCAGTTGCAGGATGGAGCAACATGCACGAGAGCTGGCTCATCTGAGAATACAGGCAGACTGCTTGAGCACTCTCCCAGGCTGTTGACTTCAGAGCAGTCTGTCTGGGACTCGCACCGCCCAAAACAAGCCACCTCTTTTCATTGCCAGATTTCACATAATCTTGGGGCAAATCTCACGAGATCTCAGCCCAAAACCCATGAGCTCTTGGGCCATATCTTGTGGGAACCTGGTAGAAGAGGGAAGTCCCTAGCTAAACCTCCTTTGTGCACGGTAAGTAGGTCATGATGAATACAGATGCAAAAATCCTCAACAAAATAGTAGCAAACTGAATGCAACAGTATTTTTAAAAAATCATACATTACTATCAAGTGGGCTTAATTTCCCAGATGCAAGGGTGGTTCAATATTCGCAAAAACAATCAACATGATAGATCAATAAGAGAAAGGATAAAAACCATATGATCATTTCAATAGATACAGAAAAAATATTTGACAAAAGTACAATATCCATTCATGATAGAAACCCTCTGCAAAGTAGGTCTAGAGGGAACATATCGCAACATAAGTAAGGCGTAATATGAAAAATCCACAGCCAACACAATACTCAATGGTGAAAAACATAGCTTTTCTCCTCAGATCAGGAACAAGACAAGGATGTCCACTCTCACCACTGTTATTCAACATAGTACTGGAAGTCCTAGCCACAGAAATTAAACAACATAAAGAAATAAAAGGCATGCTTATTGGTAAGGAGTTAGTAAAATTCTCCCTGTTAGTATATGACAGGATACTATATATAGAAAACCCTAAAGACTCCACCAAAAAAAATTTTTTTAAAGATTATTTATTTGACAGACACAGAGAGGAAACACAAGCAGGGGGAGTGGGAGGGGGAGAAGCAGGCCTCCTGCGGAGCAGGGAACCTGACGCAGGGCTCGATCCCAGGACCCTGGGACCATGACCCAAGCCAAAGGCAGACGCTTAAAGACTAAGCCACCCAGGCGCCCCTCCACCAAAAAACTTCTATAACTGATAGATTAATTCATAAGGAAGCAGGATACAAAGGCAATATACAGAAGTCCATTGCATTTCTATACAGTTGTAATGAACTAACAGAGAAATTAATAAAAAAAGTCCACCAATTGCTCCAAAAATAATACCTAGGAACAAATTGAACCATGGAGGTGAAAGACCTGTACTCTGAAAATTATCTGATGAAAGAGCTGAAGACAACAAAAATGAAAGGCATCGCATGCTCATGGGTTTTTTTGTGTTTTTTCTTTCTTTTTTTTTTAGATTTTTATTTATTTGAGACAGAGAGAATGAGAGAGAGAGAGCACATGAGAGGGGGGAGGGTCAGAGGGAGAAGCAGACTCCCTGCCGAGCAGGGAGCCCGATGTGGGACTCGATCCAGGGACTCCAGGATCATGACCTGAGCCGAAGGCAGTCACTTAACCAACTGAGCCACCCAGGTGCCCCCATGCTCATGGGTTTGATGAACAAATACTATTAAAATGCCTAGACTATGCAAAGCAACCTACAGATGTAATGCCATTCTTATCAAAATACCAACAGCATTTTTCACAGAACTAGAAAAAAATCCTAAAATTTCCTAAACAAAAGACCCCAAATAGCCAAAGCAATCTTGAAGAACAAAACGGGAGGTATCACAATTGCAGATATCAAGTTATATTACAAAGTAGTAATTAAGGGGACCCTATTCCAACCGGTCCCATGAACTGAGCTGGGTGCCTAATAGACCACTCTGAACACCCACGAAATCAGCATGAGATGTAAGAAGATCTATCTGGATCTCTACAAACAATATCCCAGGCAGTTGGTTTCGAGGTTTGAAGCGGGGAGCCATGATTCCATGGACAGATATCGGAAGATAAACGGAAGAGGGAGGGAGACTTCGGGATCCTGCACCTCAGGTGTGCGAAAGCCTCCTGTGCTGGGGACGGGGCACAGGCTTGCAGACTGGTAGCAGTGGGGAAGGGACTTTAGGGCAGCCCCGTGGACTGGAACCTGGAGTGGCAGGGCCATGCGAGTGAACTGGGGGCAGCTGGTGGTTTTAGAAGCACAAAGATCAGAGATGTGCCCTGACCTGGAGGCAAGGACTGGGAGCACTGCTAAGGGGTGCACAACCCAGGACCCTGCAGTTTATAGCAGCACAGACAGAACCGGAGATAGTGTGGCCTGGAGAGCTCACTGAAGAACAGACTGAGATCTCTGAGGCAGAGGATTGGAAACGATCTCTTCTGCTCTCTCGGAAGAGACGTGGAAAGTCACCAGGGAAAGCCGCCAGAGAACAAAAGCCCCAAAAAACCAGTTTTCACTGAGTCCACCCACCCCCCACAGGTGGCAGGGTGACTCTACCCAAACAGGGCTGCCTGAGTAACAGTGCGGTAGGCCCCTCCCCAGAAGACAGGCTGGGAGAACAAGAAGCCAACAACCCTAAGGTCCCTATAAAACAAGTGTGTCTTGCTTGGGTTGTGGTCAATAATTTGGACTCTGTACATTCCCTCAACCACCCCTCAACAGAATGACTAGGAGGAGGAACCCCCAAAATAGGAAAGACTCAGAGACTGTGACTTCTGCCACAGATTTACAAATGGCTACAGATATAACCAAGATGTCAGAAATGGAATTCAGGCTAGCAATTGTGAAGACAATAGAAAGGATGGAGAAATCGATTAATGGCAACATAGAGTCTTTCTAAGGGCAGAAAAGAAAGATGAACTGGCAGAACTTAAAAATGCTATCAATAAGGTCCAATCTAATCTAGATAATCTAACAGCTAGGGTAAGCGAGGCAGAAGAACGAATAAGTGATCTAGAAGACCAATTGATAGAAAAGAAGGAAAAAGAGGAGGCCAGGGAAAAACAACTGAAATTTCATGAAAATAGAATCAGAGAAATAAGTGACACCATGAAATGTTCCAATGTCAGAATTATTGGGATCCCTGAGGGGGTGGAGAGAGAGAGTGGACTAGAAGATATATCTGAGCAAATCGCAGTTGAGAACTTCCCTAATCTGGGGAATGAAACATTCGCATCCTAGAGGCAGAGAGGACCCCTCCCAAGATCAAGGAAAACAGGCCAACACCCTGGCATGTAATAGTAAAACTCGCACATCTTAGGACCAAGGAAACCATCTTAAGAGCAGTTAGGGGGAAGAGATTCCTCATGTACAGAGGGAGGAACATCAGAATAAGGTCAGACCTATCCACAGAGACCTGGCAAGCCAGAAAGGCCTGGCAAGACATATTCAGGGTACTAAACGAGAAGAACATGCAGCCAAGAATACTTTATCCGGCAAGGCTGTCATTTAGAATGGATGGAGAGATGCAGAGCTTCCACGACCGGCAGAAGTTGAAAGAATATGTGACTACTAAGCCGGCCCTGCAAGAAATATTAAGGGCGGGGGTTCTATAAAAGTAGAAAGACCCCAAGAGCAATATAGAAAAGAAATTTACAAGGACAACCTATAAAAACAACGTCTTCACAAGCAACATGAAGACAATAAATTCATATCTTTCAATAATCACTCTCAATGTGAACAGCCTAAATGCTCCCATAAAACGGCACAGGGCTGCAGATTGGATAAAAAGACAGGATCCATCCATATGCTGTGTACAAGAGACTCATTTTGTACCTAAAGATACATCCAGACTGAAAGTGAAGGGATGGAGATCCATCTTCCATGCCAACAGACCTCAAAGAAAGCTGGGGTAGCAATTCTTACATCAGACAAATTAGATTTTAAGCTAAAGACTGTAGTTAGAGACACAGAAGGACACTATATCATTCTTAAAGGGCTTATCCAACAAGAAGATCTAATAATTGTAAATATCTACGCCCCCAACATGGGAGCAGCCATCTACATAAGCCAACTGTTAACCAAAATAAAGAGTTATATTGATAACAATATGTTAATTGTAGGAGACCTCAATACTCCATTCTCAGCAATGGACAGATCATCTAAGCAGAAAATCAACAAGGAAACAAGAGCTTTGAATGACACACTGGACCAGATGGACCTCATAGATATATACAGAACATTCCACCCTAAAACAACAGAATACTCATTCTTCTCAAGTGCACACGGAACTTTCTCCAGAATAGACCACATACTGGATCACAAATCAGGTTTCAACAGATACCAAAAGATTGAGATTATCCCCTGCATATTCTCAGACCATAATGCTTTAAAACTGGAACTCAATCACAAGAAAAAATTTGGCAGAAATTCCAACACTTGGAAGCTAAAGACCACTGTGCTCAAGAATGTTTGGGTCAACCAGGAAATAAAAAAAGAACTTAAATAGGGGCGCCTGGGTGGCTGAATCGTTAAGCGTTTGCCTTCGGCTCAGGTCATAATCCCGGGGTCCTGGGATCGAGCCCCGCATTGGGCTCCCTGCTTGCCGGGAAGCCTACTTCTCCCTCTCCCACTACCCCTGCTTGTGTTCCCTCTCTCGCTGTCTCTCTCTCTGTCAAATAAACCAAATCTTAAAAAAAAAAAAAAACTTAAACAATTCATGGAAACCAATGAGAAAGAAAACACATCGGTCTAAAACCTATGGGATACTGCAAAGGCAGTCCTGAGGGGGAAATACCTAGCCATCCAAGCTTCACTCAAAAAAGCAGAAAAATCCCGAATTCACCAACTAACTCTACACGTTAAAGAACTAGAGAAAAAGCAACAAACGATGCCTAAGCCACGCATTAGAAGAAAAATAATTAAGATTAGAGCAGAGATCAATGAATTAGAAATGAGAAACAGAGTAGATCAGATCAACGAAACTAGAAGCTGGTTCCTTGAAAGAATAAGATTGATAAACCACTGGCCAGACTTATGCAAAAGAAAAGAGGACCCAAATTAATAAAGTTATGAATGAAAGGGGAGAGATCATGACTAATACCAAGAAAATAGAAACAATTATTAGAAATTATTATCAGTAACTATATGCCAATAAACTGAGCAACCTGGATGAAATGGATGCCTTACTGGAAACCTATAAACTCCCAAGACTTAAACAGGAAGAAATTGGCAACCTGAATAGGCCAATAACCAGTAAGGAGATTGAAGCAGTGATCAAAAACCTCCCCCCAAAAATGAGTCCAGGACCTGATGGATTCCCTGGGGAATTCTATCAAACATTCAAAGAAATAATACCTATTCTCCTGAAGCTGTTTCAAAAAATAGAAGGAAAGCTTCCAGACTCATTCTATGAGGCCAGCATTACCTTAATCCCCAAACCAGGCAAAGACTCCATCAAAAAGGAGAATTTCAGACCAATATCCCTGATGAATATGGATTCCTAAATCCTCAACAAAATCCTAGCTAATAGGATCCAACAATACATTAAAAGGATCATCCACCACGAGCACGTGGTATTTATCCACGGAATGCAAGGGTGGTTCAACATTCACAAATCAGTGTGATAAAACACATTAATAAGAGGAGAGAGGAACCATATGGTCCTCTCAATTGATGCAGAAAAAGCATTTGAACAAATAAAGCATCCTTTCCTGATTAAAACTCTTCAGAGTAGGGGTACCTGGGTGGCTCAGATGGTTAAGGGTCTACCTTCGGCTCAGGTCGTGATCCTGGGGTCCTGGGATCAAGCCCCACGTCTCCCTCTCCCTCTGCCTGCTGCTCCCCCTGCTTGTACTCTCTCTCTCTCTGTGTCAAAAAATAAAAAATCTTTTAAAAAATAAAAATAAAACCCTTCAGAGTGTATGGATAGAGGGAACATTCCTCAATTTCATAAAATCCATCTATGAAAAACCCACAGCAAATATCATCCTCAATGGGGAAAAGACGAGAGCTTTAACCTTAAGATCAGGAACACAACAAGGATGCCCACTCTCGCCACTATTGTTCAACATAGTACTAGAAGTCCTAGCAACAGCAATCAGACAACAAAAAGAAATAAAAGGTATTCAAATTGGCAAAAAAGAAGTCAAACACTCTCTTTTCACAGATGATATGATACTTTATGTGGAAAATCCAAAAGATTCCACCCCTAAATTACTAGAACTCATACAGCAATTCAGTAATGTAGCAGGATACAAAATCAATGCACAGAAATCAGTTGCTTTCTTATACACTAACAGTGCAACCGTAGAAAGAGAAATGATTCCATTTACAATACCACCAAAAACCGTGTTTTAAGATACCTTGGAGTAAACCTAACCAAAGAGGTAAAGGATCTATACTCTAGGAACTACAGAACCCTCATGAAAGAAATTTAGAAGACACAAAAAGATGGAAAAAGATTCCATGCTCATAGATCAAGAGAATAAACATTGTTAAAATGTCTGTGCTGCCCAGAGCAATCTATACCTTCAACCTCATCCTGATCAAAATTCCAATGACATTTTTCAAAGTGCTGGAACAAACAATCCTAAAATTTGTGTGGAATCAGAAAAGACCCCAAATCACCAAGGAAATGTTGAAAAAGAAAACCAAAGCTGGGGTCATCACGTTGCCGGATTTCAAGCTATATTACAAAGCCGTAATCACCAAGACAGCATGGTACTGGCACAAAAACAGACATACAGACCAATGGAACAGAACAGAGAACCCAGATATGGACCCTCAACTCTATGGTCAAATAATCTTCGACAAAGTAGGAAAAAATATGCAATGGAAAAAAGTCTCTTCAATAAATGGTGCTGGGAAAATTGGACAGCCACATGCAGAAGAATGAAACTCGACCATTCTCTAACACCATACACAAAGATAAACTCAGAATGGATGAAAGACCTCAATGTGAGACAGGAATCCATCTAAATCGTAGAGGAGAACATAGGCAGTAACCTCTTCGACATTGGCCACAGCAACTTCTTTCAAAGTACGTCTCCAAAGGCTAGTGAAACAAAAGTGAAAATGAACTTTTGGGACTTCATCAAGATAAAAAGCTTCTGCACAGCAAAGGAAACAGTCAACAAAACAAAGAGGCAACCCACAGAATGGGGGAAGATATTTGCAAATGACACTACAGACAAAGGACTGATATCCAAGATCTATAAAGACCTTCAGAAACTCAACACCCAAAAAATAATCAAGTCAGAAAATGGGCAGAAGACATGGAGAGACACTTCTCCAAGGAAGACATACAAATGGCTAACAGACACATGAAAAAATGTTCATCATTAGCCATCAGGGCAATTCAAATCAAAACCACATTGAGATTCCACCTTACATCAGTTAGAATGGCAAAAATTGACAAGGCAAGAAACAACGAATGTTGGAGAGGTTGTGGAGAAAGGGGAACCCTCCTACACTGCTGGTCGGAATACAAGTTGATACAGCCACTTTGGAAAACAGTGTGGAGGTGCCTCAGAAAATTAAAACTAGAGCTACCCTATGACCCAACAATTGCACTACTGGGTATTTACCCCAAAGACACAGATGTAGTGTAAAGAAGGGTCATATGCACCCCAATGTTCATAGCAGCAATGTCCACAATAGTCAAACTGTGGAAAGAGCCAAGATGCCCTTCAACAGATGAGTGGATAAAAAGATGTGGTCCATATATACAATGGAATATTACTCAGCCATCAGGATGAATACCCAACTTTTACATCAACATGGATGGGACTGGAAGAGATTATGCTGAGTGAATTAAGTCAAGCAGAGAAAGTCAATTATCATATGGTTTCACTTATTTGTGCAACATAAGCAATAGCATGGAGGACATTAGGAGAAGGAAGGGAAAAATGAAGGGGGGTAATTGGAGTGGGAGAAGTACCATGAGAGATTGTGGACTCTGAGAAACAAACTGAGGGTTTTAGAGAGGAGGGCGTGGGGGGATTGGTTAGCGTGGTGATAGGTATTAAGGAGGGCATGTATTGCATGGAGCACTAGGTGTTATACAAAAACAATGAATCATGGATCACTACATCAAAAACTAATGTACTGTATGGTGACTAACATAACATAATAAAATTAAATTAAAAAAAACTTACAGAACTAAAAAAAAGTAGTAGTAATTAAAATGGTATGGTACTACATAAAAATACAGACATAGATCTATGAAGGGAACAGAAAATCCAGAAATCATCCCACAATTATAGTCAATCTTTGACAAAGGAGAAATGAATATACAATGGGAAAAAGATAGTCTCTTCAACAAATGGTGTTGGAAAAACTGGGCCACTTTTTTTCATTTCTTTTAAAGATTTTATTTTTGGGGCATCTGGCTGGCTCAATCAATAGAGCATGGGGCTCTTGATCTGGAGGTTGTGAGTTCAAGCCCCATGTTGGGTATAGACATTACTTTTTTTAAAAAAATACACAGACACATGCACACACACACACACATACTGATCAGTTTGTACTTCTACCCAGTTTGTATTTTTAAAAACTTATTTTTGAAAACTTTTATTTTTAAGTAATATCTATACCCAACGTGGGGCTTGAACTCACAACCCTGAGATCAAGAGCCACATGCTCTATTGACAGCCAGCCAGGTGCCCCCAGAACACTTTCTTTCACCATACACAAACATAAACTCAAAATGGATTAAAGACCTAAATGTGAGATCTGAAACCCTAAAAATCTTTGAAGAGCACAGAGGCAGTGATTTCTCTGACACTGATTGTAGTAACATTATTCTCCTGAGACAAGGGAAATAAAAGCAAAAATAAACTATTGGGACTACATCAAAACAGAAAGCTCTGCACAGCAAAGGAAAGAAGAAAACTAAAAGGCAACCTACTGAATGGGAAAAGGTATTTGCAAATGACATATCAGATAAAGGGTTAGTATCCAAAATGTTATAAAGTACTTACACAACTCAACACCAACAAAAGAAATACTCCAATTAAAAAATGGGCAGAAGACATGTACAGACATCTCTTCAGAGAAGACCTGTAGATGGTCAACGGACACATGAAAAAATGCTCAATATCACTCATCATTAGGGAAATACAAATCAAAACCATAGTGAGGGGCGCCTGGGTGGCTCAGTCGTTAAATGTCTGCCTTCGGCTCAGGTCATATTCCCAGGGTCCTGGGATCAAGCCCCACATCGGGCTCCCTGCTCAGTAGGAAGCCTGCTTTTCCCTCTCCCACTCCCCCTGCTGTGTCCCCTCTCTCACTGTTTCTCTGTCAAATAAATAAATAAGATCTTTAAAAAATATATTAAAAAAACCCACAGTGAGGTATTGTTTCATATCTCAGAATGGATGAAATCAACAACAAGAAACAACTGTTGGTGAGGATGTAGAGAAAGGGGAACCCTCTTAAACTCAGGGTAGTCCACACCAAGACACATAGTAATTAAAATGGCAAAAATCAAGATAAAGAGAATTTTAAAAGTAATGGAAGGAAAACAGGTATATACAACAGAAACCCCCTAAAGTTATCAGCTGATTTTTCAACAGAAACTGTAGTCCAGAAGGGAGTGGCAAGATATATTCAAATGCTAAAATAAAAAAACCCTGTAACCCACAATATTCTATCCCGAAAGTCTATCATTCAGGATAAAAGGAGATAAAAAGTTTCTGAGACAAAAGAAAGTTAAAGAAATTCATCACCACTAAACCAGCCTTACCAGAAATGATAAAGAGGACTCCGTTAGCGGAAAAGAAAGACCATAAGAATAGGAAAAGGAGGAAGCAAAAAAGCAGTAAAATTAAGTATATATATATAAAAAAATCAGTCGAGGGACTCACAAAGAAGTGAAAGAAAAAAAATAACTGACAACACCACAGAAATACAAAGTATTATAAGAGAATAGAGTGAAGAATTATATGCCAACAAATTGGACAACCTAGAAAAAATGCATGAATTCCTAGAAACATAACCATCCAAAGCCGAATCAGGAAGAAATAGAGAACAGAATAGATTGATTACCAGCAATGAAACTGAGTCAGTGATAAAAAAAACTCCCAACAAACCAACCAGGATCAGATGGCTTCATTGGTGAATTCTACCAAATCTTTTTTTTTTTTTTTTTAAGGTTTATTTTAGAGAGAGAGGGAGAGAATATGCACAGGTGAGGTGGGGCAGAGGGTGAGGGAGAGAGAGAGAATCTCAAGCAGATTCTGGGCTGAGCTCAGGATCCTGCCTTGGGGCTCCAACCCAGGACCTTCAGATCATGACCTGAGCCGAAATCAAGAGTCAGACACTTAACCCACTGAACTACCCAGGCACCCCTACCAAACATTTAGAGAAAATTTAACACCTATTCTTCTCAAACGCACCCCCCCCAAAAAAAAGAAGAGGAAGGAAGGCTTCCAAAATCATTCTATGGAGTCAGCATTACCCTGAGACCAACATCAGATAAAGACCCCACAAAAAAAAGAAGTACCGGCCAATATCCCTATTGAACATAGATGCAAAAATCCTTAACAAATTATTAGCAAACTGAATCCAAGAATATATATTAAAAAGCAGGCATCATAATCAAATGGGATTATCCCTCAGATGCTAGTGTGGTTTGATATTTGCAAATCAGTCAAGGTGATACCTCACATCAACAAGACAAAGGGTAACAACTGTATCATTTCAATACAAGCAGAAAAAGTACTTGACAAAGTACAACATCCATTCATGATACAAACCCTGGACAAAGAAGGTTTAGAGGGAAATACCTCAACATAATGAAGGCCATATATGAAAAAGCCAAAGCGAACATCACAATAGTGAAAAAAATGAGAGCTTTTCTCCTCAGGTCAGGAACAAGACAAGGATGTCCATTTTCACCACCTTTACTCAACGTAGGAAATCCTAGCCCCAGCAATCAGAACAGAAAAAGAAAGAAAGGCATATAAATTGGTAAGGAAGAAGGAAACTCACTATTTGCAGATACAACACTACATAGAGAAAACTCTAAAGACACCACCAGAAAACCATGAGAACTGATAAATGAATTCAGTAAAGTCACAGAAAACAATCAATACACAGAAACCATTGCATTTCTATATACTTATAATGAAGTAGCAAGGAGAAATTAAGAAAACAGTCCCATTTACACTTGCACCAAAAATAATGAAATACCTGGGAACAAACTTAATCAAGGAGGTGAAAGACCTGTACTGTGAAAACTATAAAACGCTGCCAAAAGAAACTGATGACACAAACACATTCCATGCTCATGGAGTAGGAAAATTATTTTATTTTATTTTAAGATTTTATTTATTCATTCGAAGCACAGAGATACAGAGAGAGAGCATGAGCAGGGGGAGAGGCAGAGGGAGAGGGAGAAACAGACTCCCCGCTGAGCCAGGAGCCAGACGTGGGGCTCGATCCCAGGACCCTGGAATCATGACCCAAGCTGAAGGCAGACGCTTAACCATTTGAGCCACCCAGGCGCCCTTGGGAGAATTATTCTTAAAATGTCCACACTACCCAACGCAATCTATCCATCTAATGCAACCCCTGTGGGGCGCTTGGGTGGCTCAGTCGGTTAAGTGGTTAAGCATCTGCCTTAGGCTCAGGTCATGATCTCAGGGTCCTGGGATAGGGCCCCCTGTCCGGCTCCCTGCTCAGCGGGGAGTCTGCTTTTCTCTTTCCCTCTGCTGCTCCCACCCCACCCTGCTGTGCATGCACGTGTATGCGCACTCTCTCTCTCAAAATCATTTTTAAAGATTTTATTTATTTGAGAGAGATTGGGAGGACGAGTGGGAGGAGGGGCAGAGGGAGAAGCAGACTCGTCCCTGGGCAGGGAGCCTGACGTGGAACTCGATCCCAGGATCCTGGGATCATGACCTGAGCCAAGGGCAGACACTCAACCGATTGAACCACCCAGGTGCCCTAAACAAAATCTTAAAAAAAAAAAAAAAAAATCTAAAATTTGTGTGGAAGCACATGTTTGCGAATAGCCAAAGCAACCTTGAAAAAGAACAAACTTGGAGGTGTTGAGATTTCAAGCTATGCTCCATAACTGTAGCAATTAAAACAATATGGTACTAGCAGAAAAATACACACGTAAGTCACCAGAACAGAGATTCCAGAAATAAACCCGTAATTTTACAGTCAATCTTTCCACAAAGGAAGCAAGACTATCCAGTGGGGAAAAGTCTCTTCACAAATGTTGGGAAAACCGGACCACTTTGTTCACCGTAGATGAAAATAAACCCAAAATAAATTAAGGACTTCAGTGTGAGACCGGAATCCATCAAAATCCTACAGAACACAGGCAGCAACCTTTGTGACCTGGGCCGCAGCAACCTCTCGCTAGACACGTCCTTCAAAGGCAAGTAAACCAAAGCAAAAATCAGCCATCGGGACTATGTCCACAGCGCAGGACAGTCTCAGGGACAAACGTCAGAGGCAACCTACACAACGAAGGCAGCTCCGGGCGGTGCGTCACCGCTTCGCACCGCAGGGACCCTTCCCGCTCGGCTTCGGAGTGTCAGCGGCGGGGAGGGTGCGCCTGCCCCGGGCCGGCGGACGGGCGCCGCCCTGCGACTGTGCTCGGGATTACACCCTGACGACCACGCGCTCTGCGGCCGCACGCACGCTGCGCCAACCGAGGCCGGTGCCAGTCCCGTCGGCGAGCACGCCCCACTTCTCACGGAGGCCGACTCAGGGGCACGTGGGCTCACGCTGTGCATCAGCGGCCCGCCGAGCGCCAGACCCCGGCGGCAGCAGCGTCGTGGCCGTGCCCGAGATGCGGGCGCTCCCCTTCCCGGGGACCCCGCGCTCTGCGCCGTCGCCCCGGAACCGAGACCCGCATTCACCCCGGCCGGAGGGCGATCCCGCTGAGAGTGCGCCGCGGGAGTGGCAGGAGCCGGCCGGCGAGGCGGCACGGGCCTTCTTCCCGCGCCCGCCCGTCCACGTCCGCGGCCTCTCCAGGGGGCTCGGAGGCCGCTTCGGCGCTCTGGCCTCCTCGCTGGCGGCCCCGCGCCCCCGAGGGCTAGAAAGTACCCCCTTTCCCTGCTTCCGCTCCCCCAGAATGGGACTTCCTGTTAGAGACAAGCCTGGCCCTTGCCGCAGCCCACTCCTCGCCTGCCACGAGAATGGGTCGCGTTTGGAGAGTCAGGAGCACCACACCGTTGTCTTCCGACGGTGGCACGGAGAGGGCAAGGAGCGCGTCCGCGCTCACTCCGCTGGCGGGGACACAGGTCACCCGCGCCGTCCTCAGCCTGCCCCCAGGCCGCTGCGTGGTCGCCGCGGGACCTTCCCCGACGCTGCACGTCCTCCTGTGCGCGCCGCGCCACAGGCCGCCTGGCCCGGACATCTCCGGAGCGGGAGGAAGACCCGAGCTTTGCAGGCCCTGGACAGGAACAGGCGATGGGGCCTCCGCGAGCGCCAAATAACCGCACCAAAGCGAGGCCGAGCTGTTCACGGTTATAAAGGCCAGCGGGAAATACGCACGCCTTCCGCTTGCAGGGCTACCCCCAGCACTTTGTACATCCGCTTCCTTGAAGAAAGTAATAAAAAGGAGCATTCTGAACACAAAGGCATCAACTTCCCTGGTTGCCATGAGTCGGGCAGCCCTGCAGATACTAGAAGAGTAACAAAAGCTCTGCAGCTTCCTGAAATGTCCTTTGTCTAATGATTTGTATTTTTTCTGTAAAAAACGAATATAGCCCTGCACCAAATACTCCATGGGTTTTTACTTATTTGTTTAACGCCAGTGTGATTACTGTACATTGTTATATTAGTTTCAAGTGTACAATGTAGTGACTCAACAATTCTATACATTATTCAGTGCTCATCACAATAAGTGTACCCTTAATCCCCTTCACCTGCTTCCCACCCACCTTTGTTCTCTGTATTTAAGAGTGTGGGTTTTTTTGTCCTTTTTTGTCTTTGATCATTTGTTTTGTCTCTTAAATTCCACATATGAGTGTGAAATCATTTGGTATTTGTGTTTCTCTGACTTTTTTCACTTAACATCATACCCTCTAGATCCATCCATATCATTGCAAATGGCAAGATTTCATTCTTTGTTATGGTTGAGCAATATTCCATTGTGTGTGTGTGTATGTATATACCACTTCTTCTTTAACTATTCATCTATCAGTGGACACTTGAGCTGCTTCCTTATATTCGCTGTTGTAAATAATGCTGCTATAAACATAAAGGCACATATATCTTTTTGAATTACTGTTTTCATTTTCTTTGGGCAAATACCCAGTAGTTCTATTTTTAATTTTTCAGGGCGCCTCCATACTGTTTTCCACAGTGATTGTGCCAATTTACATTCCCACCAACAGTGCACAAGGGTTCCTTTTCTCCACATTCTCGCCAACATTTGTTGTTTCTTATGTTTTTGAGTTTAGCCATTCTGACAGATATGACATGATGTCTCATTGTGGTTTTGGTTTGCATTTCTCTGATGATGAGTGATGTTGAGCATCTTTTCATGTGTCTGTTGGCCATTTGTATGTCTTTGGAGAAATGTCCATTCATGTCTAATGCCCATTTTTAATTTATTTTTATTTTTTTTAAGATTTATTTATTTAATAGAGAGAGAGAGTGCTTTTGGGGGGAGGAGCAGAGGGAGAGAATCTCCAGGAGACTCCCCACTGAACACCGAGCCCCATGCAGGGCTTGATCCCATGACCCATGAGATCATGACCTGAGCCAAAACCAGTTGAGCCACCCAAGCACCCCTGAAAGAAACTTGATAGAGGTTTACCCAAATATCAACAATTTAAAATGTTTTTGATCAGGGGCACCTGGGTTGCTCAGTCATTTATGTGTCTGACTCTTGATTTCAGCTCAGGTCATGATCTCAGGTTGTGAGATTGAGCCCCAAGTGGGGCTCCTCTGATGCTCCCATGCTCCCCCCCTCCTCCGATGTTCCCTCGCTCCTCTCCCATCTCCTCTCCCGTCCTCCGATGCTCCCGTCCTCCTCCCCTGGTCCTCCTCCAGTGTTCCTGCGCTCCTCCCCCGTCCTCCTCCGATGTTCCCACGCTCCTCCCTCGTCCTCCGATGGTCCCACCCTCCTCCCTGGTCCTCCTCCAGTGTTCCTGTGCTCCTCCCCTGGTCCTCCTCCAGTGTTCCCGCGTTCCTCGCCTGGTCCTCCTCCGATGTTCCCGCGCTCCTCCTCCGTCCTCCTCTGATGCTCCCGCGCTCCTCCTCCGTCCTCCTCCAATGCTCCCGTGCTGCTTCCTCGTCCTCCTCTGATGTTCCCGCCCTCCTCCCCTGGTCCTCCTCCAGTGTTCCCGCTTTCCTCCCCTGATCTTCTTCCGATGCTCCCATTCTCCTCTCCTGGTCCTCCTCCGGTGCTCCCGTGCTCCTCCCCTGGTCCTCTTCCGATGCTCCCACGCCCCTCCCCCATCCTCCGATGCTCCCGCCCTCCTCCCTGGTCCTCCTCCAGTGTTCCCACGCTCCTCCCCTGGTCCTCCTCCGATGCTCCCGCGCTCCTCCCTCGTCCTCCTCCGATGTTCCCGTGCTCCTCCCTCGTCCTCCTCCGATGCTCCCGCCCTCCTCCCCTGGTCCTCCTCCAGTGTTCCCGCGCTCTTCCCCTAGTCCTCCTCCAGTGTTCCCGCGTTCCTCCTCTGGTCCTCCTCCAATGTTCCCGCGCTCCTCCTCCGTCCTCCTCCAATGCTCCCGCGCTCCTCCCCCGTCCTTCTCCAATGCTCTCGCGCTCCTCCCTCGTCCCCCTCCGATGCTCCCGCGCTCCTCCCCTGGTCCTCCTCCAGTGTTCCCACGCTCCTCCCCTGATCCTCCTCCGATGCTCCCGCGCTCCTCCCCTGATCCTCCTCTGATGCTCCCGTGCTCCTCCCCTGGTCCTCTTCCGATGTTCCCACGCTCCTCCCCCATTCTCCTCTGATGCTCCCGCCCTCCTCCCTGGTCCTCCTCCAGTGTTCCCGCGCTCCTCCCCTCGTCCTCCTCCAGTGTTCCCGCGTTCCTCACCTGGTCCTCCTCCGATATTCCCGCGCTCCTCCCCAGTCCTCTTCCGATGCTCCCGCGCTCCTCCGCCGTCCTCCTCCGATGTTTCCGCGCTCCTCCCTCGTCCTCCGATGCTCCCGCCCTCCTCCCCTGATCCTCCTCCAGTGTTCCCGCGCTCCTCCCCTGGTCCTCCTCCGATGCTCCCGCGTTCCTCCCTCGTCCTCCTCTGATGCTCCCGCGCTCCTCCCCTGGTCCTCCTCCGATGCTCCCGCGCTCCTCCCCTGGTCCTCCTCCGATGCTCCCGCGCTCCTCCCCTGGTCCTCCTCCAGTGTTCCCGCGCTCCTCCCCTGGTCCTCCTCCGATGCTCCCGCATTCCTCCCTCGTCCTCCTCCGATGCTCCCGCCCTCCTCCCCTGGTCCTCCTCCAGTGTTCCCGCGCTCCTCCCCTGGTCCTCCTCCGATGCTCCCGCGCTCCTCCCTCGTCCTCCTCCGATGCTCCCGCGCTCCTCCCCTGGTCCTCCTCCGATGCTCCCACGCTCCTCCCCTGGTCCTCCTCCGATGCTCCCGCGCTCCTCCCCTGGTCCTCCTCCGATGCTCCCGCGCTCCTCCCCTGGTCCTCCTCCAGTGTTCCTGCGCTCCTCCCCTGGTCCTCCTCCAGTGTTCCCGTGTTCCTCCTCTGGTCCTCCTCCGATGCTCCCACGCTCCTCCCCTAGTCCTCTTCCGATGCTCCCGCGCTCCTCCCTCGCCCTCCAATGCTCCCGCCCTCCTCCCCTGGTCCTCCTCCAGTGTTCCCGCGCTCCTCCCCTGGTCCTCCTCCGATGCTCCCACGCTCCTCCCCTGGTCCTCCTCCGATGCTCCCGCATTCCTCCCTCGTCCTCCTCTGATGCTCCCGCGCTCCTCCCCTGGTCCTCCTCCCATGCTCCCCGCGAGCTCCGCCAGCTCACCGCGGTGTTCTCGGCCGCCAATTCGGCTTAGTACAGGTATCTGTGTTCTAAGTACACAGCGGCAACTACAGCCTAGGCTGACTCCCAAAACATTTATTTCATTTCACGTACACATCAGCCTAATGTCGTTACTTTTCACCGGCCTGCGTCTCCTCCTCGACTCCGAGAATCCAGAAGACAGTTGCAACAAGACCCAGTATTCTCAGCCTCACAACCACCGTCTCGTCCTGTGCTGTC